TCCTCACCATCATCTCCATCCTGACTATCCTGACCATCCTCGGCTTCCTGACCATTCTCACCATCCTAAAACAAAAACACAGCGCTCCCCAACATGTGCAGGATCATTTTTTATTTTAAAGGATAATGGATAAAAACATCCTCACAAAGATTGCTGTACAATCCTAACCCTCATGTCCATCCTGACCCTCATCTCCAACTGTAGCAGGCAGGGCGGAGAGGGGAACAGCTGGGAATGGCAATGAGGGGTGCATGTTTTCTGCCAGATGCAGCCCTCCTGGTTGACTCAAACACAGGGAACATTTAGGGGAAAGACGGAGCCTTTTAGATCCTAACACTGCATATTATTAAATAAAAAAGCGACAATCCCCGGCCTCCACTTCCACCAATGCCGCCGATCTCCGGCCTTCTCGCCGCCGATCCCCAGCATCCTCCACCTCACTGCTGATCCCCGGTATCCTCTTCCGGGCCCCGGCCTCCTCCTCCGGGCCCCGGCTTCCTCCTCCACGGCCGAGGGCGCCAGTCTCCTCCGCAGCATCCGGGTCTCGTCCTCCACGTATACTGCTGAGCCCCTCGCCCCCATGGCCGGGCCCCCCTCTGCCCCGGGCCCCATAGTGACCACGTGGGTTGCTATGGTGGTAGTTACGCCACTGGGTTATTCACAAAAGGGTGAAGAGTTTGGAGGAGGCAGGGGAAGTGAACAATCTAGGCCAAAATAGCTGATTTGGAAAAATTCTCAAATTCAGCTCACTTTCCAGTTCAGCTATGTTGGCCTAGATTGTTCACTTCTCCGGCCTTTTCCAAACTCTTCACCCTTTTGTGAATAACCCTGTTAATTGTTTTTTTTCGGAGTGTGGCTAGTTCATGGTGCCACCGGTAGCTGACTCGGGCAGGATTATATACTTGTTTTATATTAGTGATATAAAGAGAGGTGTTTACAGTCCTTAGGAAGATGAGCGGGGACACGGCTTTGAAGACTGTGAGCACACAGATCTTTCAAGGGTGTTTGACAGCAGATCTGTCGCCTGGGATTTGTCAGTGGTGTCACTTGGGTACTCACTCATGTTAAGCTGGAGCTGCAGTTTTTAGAGACAAGGTTTTCTTCAGTTTGTTTTCATGAAGATAATTGGGAGGGAGCACTGAAGATAAGAAACACTTTGTAACTGTTTTGGCACAGATCGTATTATCAATAATATCGTGGACACTTATACTTTGTATTTGTTTTATCATAAGTGTTATATGGTGTTGAGATACTTATAACACATCACTGTATGTTTCACTATATACAGTATATACTGTACACTCAGTATGCTAAGTCTGGATTTTTGACACTGAAATTATTACGTGGTTTGTAAGCGTTACACTGGTATATGTTTTATAAAACCTGTAAGTGTCATGAGAAACAGTACAAGATAAAGCTCTAGGTTAGATTGTTCATTAAAAATATGTAGCTTTTGCTTTTAACTTGCACAGTTGAGCAGTCTCCTCTCCTATACTGAAATTGCCTACTTTGATTTCACCACAAGTCAGATGGAGCCCACCCCTGGTAAAGGACATCCTGCATTATCCTAGAGGTATTTCCTCCCTGGCCTGCCCCTCTCATTCACTGGATTTCAGTTATTTCAATCATGCAAATCCACCAGTCAAGGCATTTTTATATGTGCATAACTCCGCTCAAAAGCAGTGGGCTGTCTCTTTGGAGGAGTACTGAGGCAGGAAGCTGTAATATTTCAGGAAGCTATTTAGGCCTCATTTACACGGGTGTGAACGTTGTAAGGATGTGCAAAAACCTGCTCCCAGGAGTGAAAGGTGCAGCCTGTAATTGTGTTTGCGTGCACAGCAAACAGGACGCAGTTGTCCATGTAGGTAAAGGTGCACACACTTGGACGTAGACGTGGGATGTTGAGGTCCAGCCTGAGCCCATTCTCCTTGTTCATCATCAGAGAAGTATGGTAATTATTGATGGTACACAGAACCCTCGGCAACAGTAAGTTCTTTCTCTCTTTCCGGAGTCCGGTGGCTGCATGGTGTGGGGCAGATGGGTCTCAAAGAGGCAGTAGTCCCTGTCACAGCACCATCCTGCCGTTTCTCAAAGATATCTGGATATCTGGAGATATCTGGATCAATACGTGTTTAACAAACAGACAAATTATATCAATTTAAACACCTTGCTTTTTACATAATTATATTTGCTTTACAGGCATGTAGCCCTGGATTTCACAACCTTTACTTCTATTGAGGACAACTACCTACCTTCTTCTATAGCCTCCTGTACCTTCTGAGCATCTGTAGTCCTGTATTTCAGCGAGTGAGTTCCATGTCTCACGCCTCTAACTATCTTCATTGGCAGCTGCTTTTTCCTGCAGCCAGTCTACCACAATATAGCTGAAAAAATGGTGCTCTGTGCCACAAGCGCTAGAGTAGAAAATGTGGGTACAAATCAGGCCGGCTAGCAGCCAGGATGAAGCAGAATAGTGTCGGGCCTGGTGGAACTAAGGAAGAGTGCGACCGCTCACATTGCCAGTCAGGTCACGCCCTCTCACATAAGATGAATTTAGCACAGACCCTCCTGCAGATCTCTGAGGGACCTTTCTAAAGCAGACCAACCAAAGGTAAGATAAGTACAAAAAATGAGTGTGATGTGATGAAAACCTCAATCCTGTAGAATCCAGCAAAAAGTCAAATAAGGCAATTTCATAAACGTATGAGTAGAAAGGGATACTGCATTAAACTTATTTCTTTAAATTTATCATATTAAAAATGAACTAGTGATTTTATATTATATAAGCAGGTTACTAAAGTAAATAAAATAAGTAAAATAACAGAAAATAAAATAAACTGAGCAGTAGGACTCTACATAGGACTAGTTTCTGTTTTCATGAACGGCATGACTCATGACGGCATTTTAGAAAAATAAGTAACTGTGGCTATACCATTACAAAACTAATTAATTCTGTATGTACCTTGCATATCCCTGAATAACAATTTAACAGGTGCTGTATTCCCCCACACCATCTTACTGTTGCCTTGTGACTTCATCTTGGGCAAGCTTTCAAGTGCGGTCACAAGATGACATATCAAAATGCTACCAGATTTAAATAACCTATGCCCTGCCAGTATGTTTTGTAACCTGACCTAATGTTGGACTGAAAGATTTGTTTGCATCTTTAAAAAGTATAGTGTATAAGATTAACAAGCACAATCAGACACCCCTGTCTAGATAGGCTAAGAGCAGGATTTCCGCAGACTTCCTCAGATACCCCATGAAGCTCCCTTCTGCTGGCAACTTTCTTCATGTTTTATTAATATAACTGGCACAGGGCCCCTGCCAGTTACCAGTTTGTTTACCCACTGTCTGAATTAATTTAATCAGTAAATATGCTGGGAAAAAACTTCAGACAAACCAAAATGGATCCTGGTATATCAGCAGGAAGCAGACAGACTAAAAGCAGGTTGCAGCGGTGTCACACTTGTATATGGGAAAGCAGGCAACCTTTGTTGTTTGTGTCCCATAAGCGTGGGTCACTGGACATTTTTGCTCAGGCCAATCATTTTTGTAAATGTGATAATTATTGGAGACCAATTTAAAAAAAAACATTTTCAAATCCTGTCCTCCAGTTTACTGCACTGATTTGGCCTGAGCAACAAACTCCAGTGACCCATGCCTATATAACAGTGAAAAGTTGCCAATTCTGCAACCTGTCTTTTCTCTGGTGGTGGGAATTCCACTCGCTTCTTGCCAAGGGTGTCCCTATGGGGAGGGGTTGGCGGCAGAGGGTTTCAGTTGTTTGTGCTGCTTCTGAAAACATTCAGAATTCAGTGACCGATGCGTTTTCACCTGCAGATGGCTTCTGATGTGAGCTGCTTCAAGTGGATTTTGCATTCCAATAGACTTGTATAGGAATATGAAATGCATTTGAAGAGAACAAAAAGCCTGTAGACACAAGAACTAAGTTTCCCCCAACGGGACACATACAGCAAACAACAAACCTACTCTACAAAATTACACTATACATAACTTTAAAAAAAAGTTTAGTTAGATTTACACTTTAACCTTAACACTCAAATTTAACCTAACTCTTAAGCACCTGCATGCTAATGTTAACTTTAACCCCAAAACTTTAGTGTTTAACATATTTGCTGACCTATGTACTTTAACTCTTTACAATCAGTACTTCCCTAGTCTGCACTGAAAGCTCCCTGCACCCAAACATACTGATTTGGGATAATAAATCAATACGTGTTTAACAAACAGACAAATTATATAAGTTTAAACACCTTGCTTTTTACATAATTATATTTGCTTTACAGGCATGTAGCCCTGGATTTCACAACCTTTACTTCTATTGAGGACAACTACCTACCTTCTTCTATAGCCTCCTGTACCTTCTGAGCATCAGATGAGAGGTATAGATTGGTATGGTAAGCTTTTAGGTAGTCAATAGGGCTCTTGCCTCCAGTCATGCAGAAACGTTCAATAAAAAGATCTGAAAAGAACAATATAATTGCAATGACAAACATTTAAACCTGCACCAATCAGATACTGTATAACACTTATGTTCAATCAGATGACAAGTAATTCAGCACTGGTCAATTTATGCTGAAGTTGAACTTGTAGTTTCATGCAGTTAATACATAGTCTACTGTTTACCATACAGTATTAAATATTGATGACATTTAACAAACATTGATAACACTGTATCTAAGTAGTCACAGAAACAAGTAGCAGTAGACTAGGTAAGCTCTGCATAAGGCCCCTTTCACACTATCGCATCAGGAAGGGATCAGTGCACAGATCTCCTACTGAGTGCAGACATCCCAACTCTCCCGGACACTCCGGGAGTCTCCCGGAAAGGTTTATCTGCTTGATCGAGCAGATAAACCTTTCCCTGCGATCGTTTTTTTCTTTTCTGACACCGGGAGCCGCGGTCAGACAGTCAGTCAGAAAAGAAAAAAAAAGGCATACGAATGCACAGCTAGATTCCTATTGGCTATTGCACTTTGCAATAGCCAATAGCAAACTAGCTAATGCACCCGCCCACTGCTGCTGTCAATCAGCAGAGGGGGACCTGAATTTTTCTATCAGGTCCTCTTCTGGTGATTGAAAGCAGCAGAGGGCGGTATTTGAAGAGAACAAAAAGCCTGTAGACACAAGAACTAAGTTTCCCCCAACGGGACACATACAGCAAACAACAAACCTACTCTACAAAATTACACTATACATAACTTTAAAAAAAAGTTTAGTTAGATTTACACTTTAACCTTAACACTCAAATTTAACCTAACTCTTAAGCACCTGCATGCTAATGTTAACTTTAACCCCAAAACTTTAGTGTTTAACATATTTGCTGACCTATGTACTTTAACTCTTTACAATCAGTACTTCCCTAGTCTGCACTGAAAGCTCCCTGCACCCAAACATACTGATTTGGGATAATAAATCAATACGTGTTTAACAAACAGACAAATTATATAAGTTTAAACACCTTGCTTTTTACATAATTATATTTGCTTTACAGGCATGTAGCCCTGGATTTCACAACCTTTACTTCTATTGAGGACAACTACCTACCTTCTTCTATAGCCTCCTGTACCTTCTGAGCATCAGATGAGAGGTATAGATTGGTATGGTAAGCTTTTAGGTAGTCAATAGGGCTCTTGCCTCCAGTCATGCAGAAACGTTCAATAAAAAGATCTGAAAAGAACAATATAATTGCAATGACAAACATTTAAACCTGCACCAATCAGATACTGTATAACACTTATGTTCAATCAGATGACAAGTAATTCAGCACTGGTCAATTTATGCTGAAGTTGAACTTGTAGTTTCATGCAGTTAATACATAGTCTACTGTTTACCATACAGTATTAAATATTGATGACATTTAACAAACATTGATAACACTGTATCTAAGTAGTCACAGAAACAAGTAGCAGTAGACTAGGTAAGCTCTGCATAAGGCCCCTTTCACACTATCGCATCAGGAAGGGATCAGTGCACAGATCTCCTACTGAGTGCAGACATCCCAACTCTCCCGGACACTCCGGGAGTCTCCCGGAAAGGTTTATCTGCTTGATCGAGCAGATAAACCTTTCCCTGCGATCGTTTTTTTCTTTTCTGACACCGGGAGCCGCGGTCAGACAGTCAGTCAGAAAAGAAAAAAAAAGGCATACGAATGCACAGCTAGATTCCTATTGGCTATTGCACTTTGCAATAGCCAATAGCAAACTAGCTAATGCACCCGCCCACTGCTGCTGTCAATCAGCAGAGGGGGACCTGAATTTTTCTATCAGGTCCTCTTCTGGTGATTGAAAGCAGCAGAGGGCGGGTGCAATAGCTAGTTTGCTATTGGCTATTGCAAGGTGCAATAGCCAATAGGAATCTAGCTGTGCATTCTTATGCCTTTTTTTTTAAATTATTCTGACGACTGCAACTATCAGAATACTAAAATAAAATAAAAAAAAAAGCCTGCAGATAGCAAAGAAGCTATTGCTTCCTGTGCTATCTGCCATCATTTCAGGGGGGTGCTCTCTCCCAACCCCCCCTCCGTGGGGGGGGGGGGGGGAAGAGGGCACCTCCCTGAAATGAGAGGGACACCTCACTGAAATTGCTTCTTTCAGGTTGGGAACCCTGTGAGTGGTATGGATCGGATATCACCACTGTAACATCCATGTCTGTCCATTTTTTTCCTTTATTGCAGATGGATGAAAAAATGAAATTACTGGACCCCACGTCGGTCTATGAGGTATCGTATGTAAATGGATTAGTGTCAGTTTAAATCAGATTACCCCTGATCTGGCACAATCAGGTCTGGTGGAATGGAACAGTAATCTCTTTGTTTTTCCGGACATGGCCTGAGCTCGGGGCAACCGAATGTAAACAGACACCCGTCTAATTAGGCCTGGTGCCCATAGACTTACATTGGGCATCCGATTGGATCCACCTGAAATACTGACGGGCCTCATCCACCCATCCACCTGAAAGGGGCCTAAGAGCCTCAGGAGAGGAAGACAGATATTTGTTTTTTATTGTGGGCTACTTAAATGTTTTAAATGTTTTCCACATCATCTATCTCAGGAGCCCATAGGTGGCTAGGTATCCTTCCACAAAGTTGAGAAGGAAGACACCTGGACCAGTGTACTTATGGTACTTTTTATTCTTCTATTTTCTCCATAGGAGAGGGGAGCACAGGGTGTGCTCACAACAAAAAGTTACAAGTACTTATTGTATTTGAATGACAAGCATGTGTCATTAAATTGATTTGCTTCACTTTTGAATGGTGTGCTGGTGACATTTCTGGACTTCACAACAAAAAGTTATTCTCCAAATGATCTGCTAGGTATTACAGATTTGGCATTCTATAACTAATTTATTGATTATCAATATGAAGTGAACACAATGAGGTGAATTTTTATAGGGCTGATTCACACTATATGAGCTCGGGCTGCGCTGGCTGTTTTTTCCAGCGCAGCCCCAAGACAAGGCAATTTGCCCTGTCACAGATGGGCACCGTGCACACCACAGTGTCGCAGGGGTGTGCGCCGACAAAAAAGGACTGCATTAAAGTTCTAACCAAAAAAAGGTAAACCGAGCGATGCACTGGGATTGGCGCATCGGCACTGTGATAGCTAACATACACAAGCGACTGAGCATTGTAGCTGAGCTGCTGGTGTGCATACAGCCTTAAACTAGAGCAGACAAAATTCGGAGCAGCTGTGCACAGTAACCAGTCAGCGTCTATCCTGTTAATTTTTCGAGTAGTTATAGTGATCATTGTGGCTTTAGTGTTAAGTGAAGTGTCCATATATTTAGATTTGGCCATTAGGATCTTTAGTTCTGGTCTATCTGAAATGTGCCAAGCACGGATCAAGTACTGCTAACTAGTAAGCTAAGAAAAAAAGTATCATAAATATGTGCACAGTGTAGTCACAAATGCAACTAACCGATTTTTATTTTTTTATTTTTGTATGTTATACGTGAGCAAACTTACATCCAGTAACATGAGTATTGATTGATACATGACAGCACTTTGAATGTAGTGTACTTTGCACTTTCTTAAATAGCCTTGTTAAATATTAAAGCCTGCCCACAAGTACTAACCTGCTGTGTAATTTCAAAGAGTTCTAAGTACCTAGATGGTTATTTTTAACATAGCTGTGCATGTAGTAAAATAAAGCAGAAAGTATAAGAGACTATGAATTATTGTGCATATAAAATAGAGGCTGCAAACTTACTATAATGGTTTATTGTATTGATAAGTCTCACTCCGACTTGTGCGTGGTTATTAGTCATAAGGACTACGTCAAATAGATCTTCACTATCTGGGTAAAACTGACGCAGCTGAGTGTTGACTGCTTCCAGAGCCTGAGAGAGAATCAAGACAGGGAAAACATACACGTCAGAGAATTTATACTTGCACATACACATTTTTCCCTTCCAGAAATGTTTAACATCATCTTCTTGTACCATTCTGTTTAAAGTGACACTAAACTCAGGAGTTAAATCTTAAAAATGCATTCAAGAACCCTAACTATTAACAAAAATGCATCTTATTTGTGCATCACTTGGCTGTATTGTAGTCGGAAGCAGGCTATTCAAGTAAAACATGTATTATTTATGATTAGACATACATATAATCTGGGCTAGACTACCCTTTTAAAGAGACCACATTCCCATGGCTCAAAAGCTCATTTTTCTCCCAGATATTTTAGGACTTTTTAGGAGTCACATAAAAAAATGGTATTGTAAAATCTTTAAAACCTTTGCTGTAATAAAAACATGTACATTATTCCCTCTACTTGTTCTAACCACATGTATACATTTCCTCCTATCCTCCCATCTGTCAGCAGTTTCTTAGTTTACTGCTGAAGTCTGAACACTTTTCAACACATTTCGCAGTGTTGAGCACGGCTTCCTCTGGAAATGTGGCAGAGCATTCTAAAATCATGCAATACAAAAATAGAAATAATTATTTTACAATTCTTTACATCTATCTACATTCTACAATAATTAAAATCTCAAGAAGCAGTCTAGAAACATGAATTAACTTGCATATGTATGTGGCTCAGTGAAACATTCCTTAAACTGTATTTAAGATAAGGATAATTTACTTTATACAAAGACTAGTGTGTACAGCACATTTCACATTTTACTCACCAGGGAGACATCCAATGTTAAACTGTCACTTAGGAAACCTTCATCTTACAATATTGAAATGTTTTTAAAGGGTATGTGACCAGACCCCAAGAATCCCACTGCTGTGTTTAGATTTTAATTTCAGCCTCAAAATTAACTTGCACTTTCAAAGAATGTTCATCTTATATGATTTAAAGGCACATGAGTACAATCCATTGTCCCAACAACTCTAGAGAATCAAATTAAACTTCAATATCATTCAACTTTTATCAGAGTTAGGAAGCTCAATGTATTTGCTGCTGAAAAATTGTCGCAGCAGCTTGGTCAGGGTATAACTTACAGATGTCTGTAACATCCTACAGGCCAGTGCACACATTTTTTTTCCGATGATCCGTTTGCTAATAAAAAAACTGCAAACATGTTTGTAATTCCAGGAACTGCATGGGTTCATTTGAGTTCCAGGTGGCAGTAGTGCAGCTCCGTATCCTAAACACAAAAAATGTCCCAGTCAGAAAGGTCATCCACACTGGGATGCTCCTGAAAGATTTATGAGGTGCCTTCATTTAGGTATGTCATCTGAGATAAGTGAACTGCTGCTTTCACCTACTACAGCCTGGTGAAAAGTACAGTCCTAATTTACTGTTTAAAGCACATGTGTCAAACGAATCTGGCCCACCAGGCCATCTCCTAGACTTCTACTTTCAGATCTAGCTACTAGGATATTACTAAAACCAGTGATAGCTCTGACTGCTGCTGCCCACGGGATGCTGCATGAGGCAACAGCCTCAGACTGCCTCATTATAGAGATGGCCACGACTATACAAGCCTATTTTCACAGGATAAGATGCTGGGAAATCAAGGTCCTGGAAATAGCGGCTGTACTCAACATAAAAGCAAATCTCTGCTACAGTAAGACATCAACAGGTACAATTTGTAGATTGAATTAACTTTTTCATTAACATATGTCATGAATATTTAGTTTCTGTGTATCAGTTAAAAGATCAAAATAATGATGACGATATACTTATCTCAGAGACATGCGCTCACCTTTACAAAGGGGAATGCAGCTCCTGGTTTGAATGGCTCATTTTCATGCTCCAGCTGGTATCGAACATATTCTTCTAGACCCTTTTCACTATAGATTCGCTGTTCTTCCTCCATAAGAAATAGCGCCCGTGAAGACACTGCAATGGTGATTGCATTGTGAGGCTTTGGCTGTAGATAGGAAAGAGGAATAAGGAACTATAAAATGTATATTTATGAATTCGCAAAATGTTATCTAAATCCAACCAACAATGATACATTGAAGTAGACTGAAGTCCATTTTTAGTTACTGTGACACATTTTTGGCCTACACATATCCCATTGTGCTATTATATTGTAACTAAGGGCTGTGCGTTGTGCACCTTAGGTGTGATGCATTTTGCATGCATTTTAAATGAACTGCCTTTCATTCCTGTGGAAAGTGTGCTTTGCTGGAATCTAAACCACAAATGCAACAAGCAGGATTTTCTTAACACACAGCATCAAAACACGTGAAATGTCTCTCTCTCTCTCTTAGCCAATACCAGGCTGGCTATTGCTCCCAGCCGCTGGAGAGTGAGGTTTGGAGCTGGACACTGGCTGCAGGGGTCTGTGTCCCCTCCCATCCCCGCTGGGAGAAGCAGGGATCGGAATGAAAACAGAGCCCATGCAACAAAGAGTCGATGAATCAACTAATCAATAATGAGAATAATTGATATAATTTAAATCGATTAGTTGTTGGAGCCATGGTTTAAAGTGTATCTAAACCCAAAGAAGGAATTTGTAATATTTTGCAGCTTACCATTCCTTAGTTGTGGAGGCTTTTTTTTCCCTTTTTGTTCACCTGGTGATCCTGCATTTAACACACTTACTGTCTCTGTATGGCTACAGTTAGTCATCCTCTGTATCTGTGGGTGCAGTAATAGTTGTCGCCAAGGCTGGACTACTAATAGGTCTGCCTTTGTTCATTTACCTTGGGCCGATGGGATAAGTAATTTACAAAATAAAGATATATTATTTTTGTCTCTTCATTGCATCTCAGAGGAAGTGATAAGCACACTGTATTTCTGACAAGATCAACTGGTATTTTATATACTTTCTGAAAATGTTCTTAGCCTGAAAAAATGAAAACTAATGCATAGTACACAGGTGGTAACTTGCTGGAAATGACCCGGCAATACTGGAATTTTGCTCCAGTTGCTAGGTCATTACTGGAATTGTTACAGCTCTGGAATTTCTACTCCAGAGATTTAAACAAAGCACAGCTTGCGTGACATCATTTCTCCAAGTCATGCACAGTGTGCACTACATTCATCGGATGAGGAAGTAGAAAGACTGGGCGGGAGATAAGTGGACATAAAAGTAAGGCACCCTCAACATAGCCTGGCACTGATGGTGCCACCAGGATTACCCACTGGCAGAAGGAATCGGCGAACTTAAGAAGTCACTATGCCAATAGAGGGGTAAGTGTTTGTGTCAGAAAGCCAGAGCCAGAGTTCGAGTGTCGCCGTCTGCGCAGGCGCCTGTTGTGGACCATAGAGCCATAATAGGAGCAGCGTCTTTGCATGGACGTGCGCACGTAAGTGCGCATCATGCTCACGTACGTGTGCGTCATGCGCGTGTTTGTGCGCACGGGCACGCGCCGACGTGTCATTTGAACAATTTGCGCCAACTGGGCTATAAAGGCTGTGTTCAGCTATGCTCCTATGCTGTCAGATCAGCTGCTCTGGTGGGCGGCGCTCCAGATAGGGTCCTAATTTAGGTGGCCGGCGACTGCCCAGAGGACCCCACTTGGAGCGCCGCCCACCGGAGCAGCGTGAGCAACAAGAATCTATTGCTGCAGTGTATTGGGAATGTGTACTGTATATGTACTACATATAGAATACACTGCAGCAATAAATTTACAATTATCCCCTGCTAATATGAATAGGTTAAATGATCCATAGTACATAATATGTACATAATATGTAGTTGTACTATGGATCATTTAACCTATTCATATTAGCAGCGCAGAATTGTAAATCTATTGCTGCAGTGTATTCTATATGTAGTACATATACAGTACATATTCCCAATACACTGCAGCAATAGATTTACAATTCTGACCTGCTAATTTGAATGGGTTAAATGATCCGTAGTACAACTACATGTTATGTACATATTATGTACTATGGATCATTTAACCTATTCATATTAGCAGGGGATAATTGTAAATCTATTGTTGCAGTGTATTCTATATGTAGTACATGTACAGCACATATAGATTTACAATGATCCCCTGCTAACACGAATAGCTTAAATGATCCATAGTACAACTACATGTTATGTACATATTCTGTACATATTATGTACTATGGATCATGATTTAACCTAATTGCAAAACAATACCAGCGCCTTCAAATCCAAAAAGAGCCCAGCAGTAAAAATACAGCAAACACGATGGAGGCAGCTCCCACAGATTAGATGGACCACCAGTCTATGAGAAAAGGAACAAAAGAGAGCGCCTCCATATTGTAAAAATGTTATTTGATAGTAAAAACACGCAGCTCTATGTAACGCTTCCTGCGAGCACGATGGCGAGTGTTGGATCTCAGCTGCGGAGGTAAGTGGAAATGGTTCAGTAGGGAGGTTCGCGGTAACACTTTAAGTCAGTGAGTGCAGTCGGAACCCCTTACACATCATACACCATTTATCCTGGGAGCATTGAGTTGTAATCTTGTTGTATAATCACGCTCCCAATTATATAGCATTGGGGCCGTGTTGTGAATTGTAGTTCGATTCCTTAGTTGCTTCACTAAGGATCGAACTAATCCATCTCATATGGTTTGAGGAATTACCGTCCAGGGTATATGGTGCAACAGTGTTTGAAGAGAGAGCCAGTTAACGTCACTAAGCCCACTATGAGTACATGCAGGTGACAACAACTATGGATAAGCAGCAATAATGGAGTAGATAGCAGAAGAGCAGAGAGGATGTAATATGAGACTTCCCCACAAGGTGGCAGTACCAACACTTCCCCTGTATATAGAATGGCAGTGATATACTTGCTGTTTGGTGAGAGTCCAGTCAGGGGAAGTGTATGTTCCTTGGTGCTGGGGGTATCTGCAGGCGGGATCGATGAACTGTAGCTCCAGAGGCTGGTCACAGGGTCTCTGCTCACGATGGGGTTCCTAATAGCTTGCTCGACGTACTATTTTGCTAGAACGTCGAGCAAGTGTTCAGCCTCAGTTTAAGTAGGCAGAGGCAATTGTTGGGGGCGGAGCCGGAGACGAGACCCGACCCGAGCGTCTCCTAGCAACGGGACGCCGCCGGGCCTCGTCCGTCGCGTCACACTGCCTGTGAGAAGGAGAGGAGGAGTGCTGCGGAACGGCCGCCCGTCGCCTAGCAACTGGACGCCGATGACGGGGCCGTCCCCGCGCTGGCCTCAGAGTCCGGCACAGCCTGCGTTCCTGACACTCTAACAACAGTTCTTACAACAGTTCGGTAGAATAAAAACCAGTAGAATAAGGTGAGAGGACGGAACCCCTGGCAGGGAGAATCTGGAGCGATGTAAAACACCAGTAATCTCTATCCCTGTATTGATAAATGGTTGCACGCCCCCTTCATCAGAACCAATCCATCTGTATTGATAAATGGTTGCACGCCCCCTTCATCAGAACCAATCCATCTGTATTGATAAATGGTTGCACGCCCCCTTCATCAGAACCAATCCATCTGTATTGATAAATGGTTGCACGCCCCCTTCATCAGAACCAATGGATTGGTTCTGATGAGGGGTACGTGCAACCATTTTATCAATACAGGGATCGAGGTTACTGGTGTTTTACATCGCTCCAGATTCTCCCTTCCAGGGGTTCCGTCCTCTCACCTTATTCTACTGGTTTTTATTCTACCGAACTGTTGTAAGTACAGCCATTAGAGCTGCGTGTTTTTACTATTAAATACAATTTTTAAACTCTCTTTTGTTCCTTTTCTCATGATTTAACCTATTCATGTTATCAGGGGAGAATTGCAATTCTATTACTGCAGACTGCAGTGTACTGGACGTGTGTACTGTATATGTACTATGGATCATGATTTAGCCTATTCAGGTTAGCAGGGCAGAATTGTGAGTGCCTCCCACAAGCTGAGCACCGAGATGTGATGCAGCGATCCTGCCCAGCACCGACTACGAGAGGCACCACATGAGGCAACAGGGATCAGAGTGAAACTGTGAGTGAGGGAAGCTGGAACAGGCTGGCTGTAAATCTATTACTACAGTGTACTGGAAGTGCGTACTGTATGTGTAGTGCATATATATAGCACACACCTCCACTACACTACAGCAATAGATTTACAATTCTCCCCTGCTAACATGAATAGTTTAAATCATAATCCATAGTATATAACATGTAGTCGTACTGGGGGCGTGGCTTGCACCGCGGGGAGAATGGCCGCACACTAGCAGAGCTCCGGCTACCCGAGACCTAACCGACGCTTCCTCCGCTTCACTTTGCCCACGATGGTGAAGATTGGGCAGCAGCAGATGATTACCGCTACACCCGCGACCCCTACCACGCAATTAAGTGGACGGATACCGGACATTTTCCGCTCGCAGCGGCCCGCTACTGAAGAGGTGATGTCCCTCAAAATGGTGCCGGGTCCGTCCGTCACCGAGCCTCTCCACACAGCCGCTCCCAGCACGGGTCCTGAGCCGCCAGACTCCCACTCTCCCTCCTACCTTCAACACATACAGACCCGTGCGGAGCTCCACTCGGTGGCCTCCGACATTAAAGAGGCCCTTTGCACGGCGGTGTCCGATAAAAAATGTAAATGGAAAAAAAAACAAAAACATGTAGTCGTACTATGGATCATTTAACCTATTCAGGTTAGCAGGGCAGAATTGTAACTCTATTACTGCAGTGTACTGGAAGTGTGTACCAGGTTGAATGATCCATAGCACACACTTCCATTACACTGCAGCAATAGAATTACAATTCTGCCCTGCTAACATGAATAGGTTAAATTATCCCAGAGGCAGATGCATGATGAGATTTGTAGTTTTACTGTAGCTGTATGAAAGCAAATACAAATGTTGTATTGTTCTAAAACAGTCTTAAATTAAAGTTCTACATAATCATAAATAATTTGGCCTAAAATCATTAGTCTGTATTGTTTTTTACAAAATGTTACCTGTCCCTTTTAAGAAAAAG